TGGTGTCTGGCTCCCGTGGTGGAGCTGGGGTGATGGAGCATAGCACATACACTGGAGGGAAGAAGGTGTGTGGTTAGTAAAGCAGATTTCAACCCCAGCTGTGGATCAGAACTGCCAGGAGAGCATCTGAAGCAATACCCAGGCTCTGCCTGAACTGAATCAGTCTCTGAGGGTGTTGCCCCAGTCCGTGTATTTTTAGAAAGCTCTAAAGGGGACTCTAACGCACAGTTGGGAACTACCCCATGGAGCAGGGTGCAGAGCTTCACAGCAGGTAGAAAGAAGTAACTAAGTGGAAACTAGAGGAAAATGCAGCAGAGAAACCAGGAAATAGGAAAGAAGGATGCAGGATTTAATCTGCTGGGGTATAGGGATCCGCTCCTTGACTTGCCCCCCACATCCCCACCACCACGGGGTTCACACGAGCACGTTCTGCTCATTACACTTGGAATTTTTCATTTACGTGTATTTCAGGATGCTGCTGCTGGGAGTGTCGAGTGAGCCTTACTGATCAAGACTGGACTTGGCCCATCCTTCATGTCCAGCTCTTGAGAGGCCGTGGACCTTTTGTAAAATGGCAGGGGCCCAGGCACAGACCCAGGCAATCAGATACAGTGGGCAGTAGTGCTTGAGGACTACTGAGCCTGAGGATGTTGGCAAGTCACCTCACTGAGCCTTCGTTGGCACATCTGTGAAATGGTGAATAACAGTACTACCTGCTTCCCAGGGCTTATTGTTAGGACTGAAAGAGATATCCTTTATGCCAGGTATGTGTCGTAGAAGGACTGAAGGTTAAATTCTACCCGTCAGGGCTTGAATGAGCTGTTTGGTCAGCGGTGGGGGTGGGGTGGAGTCAGCCCCTATCCAGAAGGCGCTTGCTGGGGTGGGAGCAAAGTCGGAAGAGCTGTCTCGGCCTGCCCCAGGAGGAGGCCTCGCCTGGAGCTGTTGAAGCGGAGGAGAGGGGGCAGGGAGGCTCTGGGCAAAGGAGAGACTCCCCCCAGTTTTTTGGTGCTTTGGGGCTGGAGGGATACCAGCCAAGCTGCAGGCATCCCCTGCCCCCTGCCAGGCCTCTTCTGGAGTGTGGGCTCTCGCCCTGGCTCACCTTTTCTGTAGCAGTTATTCTGTGACCCTAGCCTTCTTGCCTCTAAACTCCCCTTCTGGCTGCAGAACTCTGGGCAAGCCTCTCGCTGTCCTTTATCTTTCATTCACACAGCTCCTGAGAGGTCCCCTTTTCTGGGAAGCCCTCCTCAACTCATTGGAAGAAAGGGAGCAAATTGTGTCCACCCAGGTGATGTAAGTCCCCACCCTGGGGACTTCCAGGGCACACAGCAGCGTTTGCCTCTCAGCCAAGTCCGGTACCACTCACTTAGGTGTGCATCTGTGGCTTTCTCTGTGTCTGGTCAGTGCTCCTTTATATGTCCATACCCCCTGCCAGAGGGCAGCATTGAGGGTGTGCAGAGCCCAGTGTGACTCTCCTGCAGCTGGGGACATAGAAGAGCTCTGTGATGATAGCAGATGTGGTTCTCCAGCCTCCCGCCTGGCTGCCAGTGGGAATAGCCTGTCTGCTCTGGCACAGGGGCCTGTTCCGTATGGAGGGCCAGGAACTGGCCTTCACAGCCACCCAGGCATTCCTTCCACTTCTGTACGTCTTCCTTTCCCCGTGAAGATTTGGGTGTACCCTGTTTGTGGCCTGTGAAGACTGGGCAGGCATGTACTTTGTGAAGCTTTCTGCTCTCTCTGGTAGGCCCGATGAAGCCTATCTGCAGAGGTTGGCCTGAAGCCATAATGAGCAGTTCTGTTCTTTTTAGCCCTTGTCTAGTTTATGACTGTGTTGCAGACATGCCTTTCTGTGTCTTGGTTAAAAGTACTGGTATGTCTGGGCATTTAGGTGTGGTCTATGAGTCTGGGAAAGCTTCTCCTAGAGGAGAGCCCTCCAGGGTTGCTCTTTGGGGTGGGAGTAGTGGGAGCGGAAATGGAACGCTAGCTGCCCTCTTAAAGCCAAAAGCCTACTTCGTTCAGGGCAGGCAGTTGGCATGTGTAGGCACTCAGGAGCCTTCCTTCAGTTCCAGCGGCCAGTGTGGTCATCATCAGGAGCGATAAGGTCGGATGTGGGAGTGAGAGTGTGCCTCTGAGATTGACCAGTAGCCATAGACTCCAGCAAGATGAGGATCTTGGTCTGAGAGGTGCCCACTGTATCAGAAACTAGACTTGTATTGAGCAAATGGCTTGTTAGCCCCAGGAGGCTTTTTACGGCCACAAATGTCCCTGATGGTGAGCAGCACTTGGCCACTACTGTCTGATGTTAACCAGAGTTATGGGGGTGGTTTCTGCAAATACACAATACTGTGGAGGGGTTATGTGGCTTACCCAGAGGTGCCCAGATAGCAAATGAAGGTGCAAGATTGGAATCCCTGTCTTTCTGGTTGACCCTTGGCTTGCCTAACTCACTCATTCATTCATTCCATTCCACACACACTGATGAATGCCGACCCTGTACTGGGTTCTGTTCTAGGAACTAGATAAGACACATCACCTATGCTGCTCTTGTGGGGCTTCTGTTCCACTAGGGGAGACAGTCAGTAGTAAGCCATCAAGCAAAGGCATGGCTGCTGGTGTGATGAGTTCCATGAAGACCCATAAAGCTGTGTTAAAGGAGATGGGTGGTCCAGGAAGGCCTCTCTGAGGAGGTGGCATTTGAGCACTCAAGTGACTTACACTGGATTTCTGACCCCATGAGCTGGAACTTAGGATATCTGATCTAGAAGTACCTCTAGAAGTCCTTTTCCCAGTAAACAAGCTAGGGTCCAGTGAGGTTAAGGTGTGAATTCATGGTACGACTCATGGGAAAGATGAAATTATATCCAAGAAGGACAAGTATAATAGCTGGCCACTGCTCTGCCCACACCAGCCTTGGGCTCTAGCCATCTGCCTTTTCATCCCAGAATGTGTTTTATTTTCCTCAAGACTCAGCCCTTTGAAAGATTTAGACTTCCAAATTGCATTTATTAACAATAATAAATGTATTTTCTCATGGCTGGGTGTGGGGATGGGGTAGAAATTTTGAACACATTTGTGCTGGTTGATCAGCCCTCCAGGTAAGGCAAGGGCTGACTACCTGGAGCTGGTGTTTTTCCTGCCTAGGCAGAGACACGGCCCAATTTTGTACCACCAGCTGCTGTCAATGTCTGTCAGAGTGGAATTTCTGTTGGTGTTTCTGAAATAGCAGTGTTTCTTGGAAGACCCCCATTAGTACTTTCTGGATTCCATCTGGACCTGGTTTAGGGGGTTAGATGCTTTTGAATGGAGGCTGGAGAGACCCTACTGATGCCTCTGACCAGAGATGGTGAAGCAGGACTCAGAGGGCCCCCAGGGCTTATTTCAGGGAGAGAGAGGCCCACAGTTAAATCAGAGGTCACAAATAAAGCAGCGGACCCCACCTCTCCCAAGGACCAGGCTGAGCCATAATTGGCCAATAGTTTCATCTAGAAGCAGGCATCCTACATCAATGTGAAAGGAGCTTCTGGTTGAAGTAAGACTTTATTAATTAGCCTGTTAGGAAAACAGCTTCCCAGTATTATGAGGGCTGGATAATTTCATGCCTAATATTTTTCTTGGAGCTTCTAAAAGGAAGACACGGCCGCGCACAGTGGCTCACGCCTGCAGTCTCAGCACGTTGAGAGGACAAGGCAGGTGGATCATGAGGTCAGGAGATCGGGACCATCCTGGCCAACATGGTGAAACCCCATCTCTACTAAAAATAGAAAAATTATCTGGGCTTGGTGGCACACACTTGTAATCCCAGCTACTCAGGAGGCTGAGGCAGGAGAATCGCTTGAACCCAGGAGGTGGAGGTTGCAGTGAACCGAGGTCGCGCCACTACACTCCAGCCAGGCAACAGAGCAAGACTCTGTCTCAAAAAAAAAAAAAAAAAAAAAAAAACAGTTTGATTGTGAAATAGAGCACATAAAACCAAACAATATGTGTGAGATTTAATGATTTTTTGCCTATTTTTTTCTATTTAAATTATTATTTAATACTTTCAGGGATATCCTAGTAAAAGCGACTTTCCCTGTGCCTGCCTGTGCCTTTCTGTGCTAGGGCGTTAGAAATGTGTCTGGGTTTCCCCTGTGGCTCTGACACTCCATCAGACACCAGGGCTTGTGCACGCAGGTGAGAAGCATCCCCAGGTGCCTCAGAGATACCGAAGAGAGTCTGGAATGTGGGAGAAAGGCAAATAGTTTTCCAATAAAAGTAGGCTAAGACATAATTAGGGGCTTAGGTGCTGCTTTAAAAAATAAGTAGCAGCGTATTCCAGACTCCTCTAAGAAAAGAGAATTGCTCATTGTGGAACAGGTGTGGCAATGCAGTGCCTTTGCCTGGAGCACCTTGCTGCTGCCATCACTTAAGACCCATTCTGGGATAAGAGGAGGCTTACCCGTTATTGATTATCTACCATGAGCTTTGTATGGTCCTTGCTTGCCAGGTACTTGGCAAGCAGCATCTTTTTGACCTTTTAGAACACCCCTGAGGTGTAGGTATGGCCACCCATTTCCAGACAGAGATTGGCCTAGAGGTCCAGATGGCTTCCAGGGCACACTGAGCAGCCCTTGTGTGTTGTAATGGTCCCTTCTGTTTGTCCTTCCCAGGCTGGACACTTTGGGAGCAGAAGTCAAAGACACCTTTATCATTGTACCCTTAGCACCTGGTGTAGTCCCTGGGATTTAGTAGGTTCCGAGGAGCGTGTATTGAATGAATGGAGGTTAAGTAACTTAGACATTAGATAATAGGACTCTGGGCTGGGCGCAATGGCTCATGCCTGTAATCCCAGCACTTTGGGAGGCTGAGGTGGGTGAATCACCTGAGGTCAGGAGCTCGAGACCAGCCTGACCAACATGGTGAAACCCCATCTCTACCAAAAATATAAAAAATTAGCCGGGCATGATGGCACATACCTGTAATCCCAGCTACTTGGGAGGCTGACGCAGGAGAATCGCTTGAACCTGGGAGGTGGAAGTTGCAGTGAGCCCAGATGGCGTCACTGCACTCCAGCCTGGGCGACTAGAACAAACCTCCGTCTCAAATAAATAAATAAATAAGATAATAGGACTCTGAGGCTCTATGACTGCCACCCTGTAGGTCAGAAATGGGATCTCATTCCAGCTCTTATCAATAAGCTAGGGGAATGCAAACTGACATGCCCAAGCTTATTGATATTGCAAAATTATTTATTACAGCAAAAGATTGGAAGCAACCCAGATATTCATCAATAAGAGACTGGTTAAGAAAAATGATCTCACACTATGTAGTTGCAAATAAGAAACGAAGAAGGTTTTTATGTGCTCTGTTACACAAACTCCATGAAAAAAAGGCAAGGCAATGATTAGGATAATATGCTAGATTTTTAATAAAAGAGAGAAGAAATAAGATTCTGAATTTGCTTGTATGTGTGTGAATGTTCTAGAGAGATACTTAGCAGGTAGTATGGTTGACTGGGCAGACAGAGGATAAGATGGGAGGGAGAGTTAACTGTGTATCTTCTTATACTTTTTAGTTTTAAAACCATCAGAATGAGTGTGCTAGCCAAAAAATTGAAAAGAAAAAAAATAAAAGAGGTGACCTTGAACCAGCGATTCCACTGACCTGGCGTTAGTCTCCCTATCTGTATGTGAGGCAGTTGGACCAGATTGTGACTCCTTAGTCTGAAGTGGAACGTTGTGAATATTGTATTTCCCAGGCTTTCGTGGACTTTTCCAGGAGATCCTGACCTTGTGCTAGGGTAATCTGCAGTCCCTTTCATTGGTGGCCTGGCCTGGCCCTCTCAGGATGTTTGAGAAAGGTTGGAGGCCACAGAGAGCAAGGAGCCTTCCCCAGAGGAGTCAGGCCTTGTTCCTGTCCCCTTTCCTCAGTTTATCCTCTGAGCACATGCCTCTGATGTGACTCAGTTGGTTCTTCCTCCAAAGTGAAGGATTTCAGTGAAGAGAGACTGTTCTGGAGCATTCTGGCAAAGTGCTACAGTTTAATAGGAAGGAAAAAAATGGCAGAACATTTTCCGGGTTATTTTTAATGCTTCTCAGTTCTGCAAACATTTATTGAAAGCTAAGTGCAAGGCAGTGTGGGAGAATCAGTTGCGTAATACCTCACCTCTGCTTTCCGGGGTGCAAAGTCTTAAGTAAGAAACATGCTCATAAAATTCATCATAGTAACCTCTAGGACAGCCTGGCTTACCCATGCTCTCATTGGGTCCCATGGAGACATGTGGGATTGGTAGGGATTCTTCCCATTTTACAGGTGAGGAAACTGACTCGCAGTGAAGTCTTGCTCAAAGCCACACAGTTTGGAACCAAACAAGATTTTCCGACTACTTCTCACGTGTCCTAACCCCCGTAATCAAAACATTCTCCCATAGGAGATATCTGGGGTGTAGATTAGGCCGGTTTCCACCTGGAAACATGGGGCAAGCACAGTCCTGATTAAAGCTTCTTCTCCTTCACTTTTTTCCATTGCTTTTTTTCTTCCTTTAAGGCAGAGCAAGGTAACTCTTAGGCTTATGGCCAGATCTCAGGTCTTATCTCCTTTCCTGTGGTCCAAGCAATTCTTCTTGCTTTGCCTGTGAAACCCACTATCCTACCACCAGTTGCATGCGGAATGTCCCATGTGGGTAAAGGTGTGTGTAACCTGTGTAACCTACAGCAGCCTTCTCTCCACCCCAATCTCATGCTGCCACCTCCTTTCATTCCCTTCCACAAATTCTCTCGTACCAAGCTGGCTTCCTAGCTGTTCCCCAATAGAGCCAAGCATGCTGCCCACTCAGGGTCTTTGCCCTGGCTGTTCCTTCTTTCTGCCTGGAAGGCCCTTCCCGGTTGTAGACTTGGCCTTACGTCTCTGCTGAAAGCTCACTTTGGATAGGCCTTCCTGGTTACCCTTTCTAAAGTAGTATCCCTTGTCACTATTGCTTTTCTGTCCTTTTTTTTTTCTTTAAAGCATTCATACACATTATATACACATGTATATATTTATTGGTTTATTATTTGGCTCCCCTACTGGAATGTAAACCCGTGAGATAGGCACCTAGTTTTGTTTACCACGGTATCACTAATGCCTAGCATGGTACCTAGCATGGCATGTAGTATATACTCTATATGGACTGTTGAATGACTGTATCAGGCCTGCATCCTAAAGCAAGTAATATTTAAGAAGAAGGAATCAAATCATAGCATTTTAAGAGGGGAAAAGACTCAGGGCTCTCTTTGTAGGGCTTTATCATACAATATTATTAATTCATCTAATAAGCATCCAGCACTGTTTATGTATGAAGCTCTTTGCAGACAGTCACTTACAGCCTTCTGATTCATACAGGGATGAGAAGCTCCCAGATTTTCAGAGCAGCCCATTATTTTGTGAGACAGCCATAATGATCTGGGGACCTTCTTACAAAGTACACTGGGGAGAAAGCTGTCCCTATGATTCCTACACTCTGATCTTAGTTCTTGAACCGCTGGAAAACACAATAAACATACATGACACTCCTTCAAATAAGTGGAGAGAGAGAGAGAGATCATGGTCTCCCCTACCCTCAGGCCTAAACATCACTAGTTCCCTCAGTTATTCTTCTAGTATCCCAGTTTTCAGATGCCTTCCTACCCTGGTTGCCTTCCTCAAGTTTGTTCTTCAAATGTTGGAATTTCAGGTCTAGTCCTGTCAGTGCAGAGTGTTTCGGGACCAAGGAACCCTGGTCCATCCCACGTGTTCCTATCAGCATAGCCTTCAATGGCTCGTCTGTGTTGGCTGCCATGGTAGAAGCCTCCTTCATGAGCCTCTGATGAAGACTAAAATCATTAAGCTCCGTTTTACATTGTCTCGAGTCATGTGGACCCTCCCTGACTCTTCATAGTTTTTTTGGTTTGGGGGTTTTGTTTTTTAGCATTTTGAGATTAAAGCAGCCATAGACTTGTGAACAACAATAAACTTAACCTGCACTCTTTTTAAAAAACAACAAGTGTAGGTAAAGTTCTATCACCAAACCCAGGGGAAGGAGATGGAACTCTGGAAGTTCAGCAATACCTGCAAAGCCTCTAACTCCTTTCTTCCCTCTCCGTGTCTTTCTCTGCGTCTGTCTCCCTCTCCCCTTCCTTCCAGCAGCCCCTCACTTTGCCATAGCTTCCTTGCTCTCCCTCATTCCATTGCTTTTATTAATCCTCCTTCCAATTAGAAATATGGAGCTAACATATACTGCTAGCATTTCTTGCACTTCCATCACTAATATTTTTTGCCATACATGTGTAATTTACAGATTAAGGAAGCTGCACATTTCACACTTGTCTAAGGGAGAAATAACTAATGTTAAATGGCTTCTTATGTGTAGCCCTTGGCTAATTTGTTTTGTGGCCTTGGATAGAAAAAACTTTCAGCCCCAGCCTTAGGTTCTTCTGCATGATTGGTTCCCATTTCTGCCCAAATCAGCGATTTCCCATTGGTGGTTGGACACTAGGGCTTCAGTGCCGAGGCGGCGTTTGCTCTGCTTCTGTCATTGCTGATGCTGCTGTCATTTTGCATAGAGGTGGCAGGGAAGGAGGCCAAGGTCGAGGTTTCATCTATGAGGCCATTTAGCTTTCCCTGCCTCTTCTGCATTTGCAGCCCTGCCTGGGTGTGTGGAAGGTGGGAGGGGAGAGCAGGGGCTGAGTTCAGGCCGGGGCTCTTCCTAACAGCTAATTTTGTTTTTCACCTTTCTTTCCTCTTGCTTCAAGGAGGATGGAGAGGCCTGTAACTTTGAGGGTGTGGGCCCTAAGTTAGGAGTCTTGAGAGAATGGCCTAAGGTTCGATTCTACAATGGGGTAACTGTGTAGCCTTGGGTGAGTCAGAGTTAGTTTCCACCCAGCTTCGTCAATTGCTAGGGAAGTTGGATTAGATACAGTGGTTCCCGAAAAGTGGCATTGATGGGGTCCTTTATTTCTTTGAAGCATTTTTAAAAAGCTATCTGGAAATGGAGCAGACGCTCACACCACGGCTGTGGGATGTGTCCCGGCCTCTGAGTCTGATTGGCATGTTTTCTTAGATGGGTTACGCTGGGGGCTGGAATAGGCAGAAACTTTGAACTGCCAGCTCCTGGGTCTCTGAATAGTAACACTGGGGAAATGAATTAACTTCTGTTTTGCTGACAGTTCCTCCACTCGGGGGTCCATCCCGGACTCCGAGGCAGAAACCCTGGGCTGCTCCCTGAAGACTCCAATGGGATTTCCTTAGCAGACAGCTCCCGCAGTCCGCAAGCGGTCCCAGCCAAGTTGGGCTTCAATCTCCCAATCTGATTTCAGCAGCCAGAATTAACCCTATGTGTATCTGTCAGCTGGGACAGTTGATTTTTCTGAGTGGTTTTAGTGGGGAGCTTTGCCTCAGAAAGTGAATAAAGGGTTTGCCTTCTATAATCTAGATGATTCTCCAGAGCCATTCCCCGCCCACACCCCAACCCCTCCCCTAGCCTGTTTGGCCATTCAGCAGGCATTTACTGAAAGCCAGCCCCTCTGGGGAGGACACCAAGGTGACCCTGAGACCTCGGACCTTAGCAAGGCTGTGTTGGGGGAGAGACAGGAGGAAGAATGACTGGCCTTCAGCAGCTCTCAGGGCCCTGGTGGACAGGGGCAGGTTGCCTGGGAGGGACAGAAGGGGTAAAATTTCCATTGTCTATGAGGGGAAGCACTTTGTAAACTGTAACATGCAGCACCCAGTTGTGTCATTATTTTTGCTGCACATCAGGGAGGCTAGCAGAGGGCTGAGATGGGAGGAAGCACAGGGTTTTTGCCAGAGGACACTGATGGGTGGGGGGCCTGGGAATCCTACTCTGGATTTACACTTGATCCCTGTGGCCATTAAAAGCTTTTGGACAGGGGAGTAATGAGACATGATGTGATGTGATCAAAGCAGCATTTTAGGAAGATTGAGCAGGATTTACCCTCTTTGCTCTCTAGGCCTTGGTCTTCATTCTCTGTGGCTTTTCTGTTGCATGGGTGCAGTGCTGTGGCTCTGTAATAAGATCACCAAGAATGGCTGTGGTTTGTGTTGTGAATCACCGAATTGTCAGCTCACGGATGTGAGTAGTGATTGGTGATCCTAGTCTCTCCTCTCCTCCCACCCCAGGCATCTTGGAGGCCACGCAATGACCTGTGAGAGGAAAGACATCAGATGGGACAATGCCGGACTCCCACATTCGGAACCCAGCACCCGGGGCCTCTGGGGGGTGTTTTTATATCCTGATGTGTGGTTCTTAAAAACTTGTAATTAATTTTACAAATTGATATAGTTGTACTTACTTTGGGGGTGCTGATATGTTTTAAGAGATTAGATGATTGAGTTTCCCATTTCACTCACCCAGGGTAACTGCCCCGTGTCCCAGATTTCCTTTCTGGCATCCCTCAGTGATGAATCCTGGGCCCCTTGGCCCACGAAATTGGCCACATTCTTTCAGGAACAGTGACTGAGTTTGGATGTGGCGTGGGCACTCAGGCTCAAAGTGTATGTACCGAGAGAATTTTGAAACTAGAGGGACCTTATTTCTGTACTCAGGCTCTATTGTCCAGTGTGTGGACTAGAGAACTTGGAGAAGCCCAGAGAGTGGTAGTGACTTCCTGAAGGGTACGCAGCAAGTTAGTGGCAAGGCAGACCAGAGCCCAGGTCATCAGAGTGCCTGACAAGTATTCTGTGCACTACACCTTGGTGCATCTTGGCCCCCTTTCCTTCTCTTCCCTGGTTATTGTTCACACACCACCTGCTGGGACTCTACTTCCAGTGCCTACCACTTCAGTCTTCCAGCATTCACTGAAGGTAGGAAGGGAACAACCATTTAGAAGAGTCAAGTCTGTGGCTGGGTGCGGTGGCTCATGCCTGTAATCCCAGCACTTTGGGAGGTGGAGGCAGGTGGAACACATGAGGTCAGGAGTTTGAGACCAGCCTGACCAACATGGTGAAACCCCATCTCTACTGAAAATACAAAATTAGCCAGGTGTGGTGGTGGGCGCCTATAATCCCAGCACTTTGGGAGGCTGAGGCAGGTGGATCACCTGAGGTCAGGAGTTCAAGACCAGCCTGACTGACATGGTGAAACCCCGTCTCTACTGAAAATACAAAATTAGCCAGGCCTGGTAGTGGGTGCCTGTAGTCCCAACTACTTGGGAGGCTGAGGCAAGAGAATCGCTTGAATCTGGGTGGCAGAGGTTGCAGTGAGCCGAGATCATGCCACTACACTCCAGCCTAGGTGACAAGAATGAAACTCTGTCTCAAAATAAAATTAAAAAAAAAGAAGAGTCGTCGAGTCTGTGAGATTTTCACTGGGTCATGTAACCCGCCAGTTCTAAAACCTTCATCTCCCCTTTTCCATACTGCAGCTCACATCCCCCAGCAAAGCTAGACCCAAGACCCCTCCTTCCCTTCTTCAGACCCCGAAACAGTTCCTGCTCCTCCTGTGAACACTTTTAAGAGCTATACATGCTCTTAAACCACTCAGGCCTGGGCTAGAGGCTGGGCAATCATGGAAGGCTTCCTGCAGGAGGTAGAACTGACAGGTCCTTGATGTAGAGTCTATACCAGCTGGTAGATAGGAAGGAGGTTTAAGGGGAGGAAGCGAAGGAACAATATCAGGGAGGGGCCCAGCTAGGATTTACCAGCTAAATAGGCCCATTTGGCAAGCCCAAAACTCAGGTCCGGCAGCCACCCCAGCCTGCAGAGTACTGCCCTGAGTCTGTTTCTGGCTGGAGGAACATCTGCGGTGGAACCAGCTCCTCTGCTTTGGTGAAGCAGAAACCCAAGTCCCTCTCACACCCACGGGAGGAGAGAGAGGAAGCCGGTTCCAGGCCGTGCAGGAGCAAGTCACAGGGTTTATGTTAATGAGGGCCCTCCCCGCGCCGGCGGCTTAGCCTATGAGCTGGGGCCCTGGCAGACAGCTTAATTACCGCTGCAGCGCGCCTCAGCTTGTGTTCCTTGGCTCCCTAAAATAATAAGGATGGCGTCACCGACTTCCCCGGGCCATGTGCTCCCCGCCTGCCTTCAGAGCTCTATTGTAGGAAACAAACAACAACAAAAAAAAACATCAGAGACATGGATGCTTTTTTCTTGGGGAGATTTTTTGTTTGTTTTAAAGTAATAGGGGACTCTGCCCCTAGTTAAGATTTTAAAAGATCTTTGAGAGGTGTAGAGATCCGGATCTACTACTGTTGAGGCTGCAGGCCTCCTGTTAGCAGAAACTTGAAAGCTGCATGGGTGATCTGTTAATTCCATGGTCTTCCATTGGGGATGTGAGTTCTGATGCCTAGTGGTGGTGTGTTCTGCCAGGAAACGAATCGCCCAGCTCACAGTGACTCTGGGCCCAACTCTGGACCTTGCTTCTTCCTCTGGAAAAAGAGAGCTGAGCTACACCAGAGTTTTGCAGACTGTGGGTCACGCTACACATATATTGTTCTAAGTAACATAAGAAAGTAATTGCAAGTGTTAAGTTTTGTTTTCAGTTGTGTCTATGTACACATAAAAACGTGTGTACTGAGCCACGCTGTAAAATGTGGAAAGCCACTGGCCTAGGAGATCCCTAAGACCTTTCTAGCTTTCAAAGTGTCTAACTTTTCTCCCAGAGCTGTTGCTTTTCCCTAGCATGGAACCTGACTGATTTTTGCAGGTTTTGCCACACTGGCTGTTCAGCAAAACAATCGATTTTATGGTTAAAACAACAAAATCACAAGCATCTATCACCCCAGTCTAAAACCTCGGTGTCTCAGACAGTTTGGCCTTCTAGCTGAAATGGGATCTGCAACAGGGGATGGCCCATTTAAAAGCTGACCTATTTAAAACCCACGAGCACCAAAAAACACAGGGTCAATTTGATATGAGTCTTCTCTTGTGTGCAAAGACTGGAACCTGAAAACCAAATTGGTCAGGGACTGACAAGGTTGAAACCAAAGCTACAAATATTTACTGAATTCTTGCTCCGTGCAGGAAAAGAAAATCAAGGGTAGTCAGGGTTAGTGTGAAAAACAAAACAAGGTGTGAATGTAAATATCCAAAGGGGTTTGTTTTGAGCACACCATTCCTGGTTCCCCAATAGGTTAAGAGACCTCGTATTTCTGTAAGGAGGCTGTACAGACAGCTTAATTGACTCAAATCTGCTAACCTGCCTTTTGTTCCCATTCTTGTGCCTTGACTGTACACAACAGTAAAGATGGCCGTGGAAAAAGGGGAAGGCAAGTGGCTTTTTCCAAGCTGGGGATGCTCTAAGTACATTCTTATTTAATCCAACCCTAGGTGATGGACATTATAGTCACTAAAGGAAACGGAAGCTCAGAAAGGTAAGCTGGGCTAAAAAGAAGAAAAATTGAACTTGAGCCAGTTCTCTTGGACTCGAGAGCCTGCCTTCTGTCCACCTTTCCATGTTGCCTCAGGAAGTACTAGAAAAAGAAGGAGCAGTTCTTACTGTAAGCTTCCTTCTCTCTGGTCCTGTCCTTCAAAGGGCTCTGTTTCAGGCCCAAACTGTCTACTTGAATCAGGGCCAGCTTCACAGGCATGCGACCCCTGCAGCATGCACTTGGTTTAATGCGCTGCTGTCACTGTCTTGGAATTCTTAATAATTTTTAAGCAAGGGGCTCTGTGTTTTTCATTTTATGCTGGGCCCTGTAAGCCAGTCCTGGCTTTTGATATAGTGTATCTCCTCTGTAGGTCCTTCTGGGTCCCCCTCATCTGCCTTTAGCGTGCCTGTTCTATCTGGTAGAGGCATTTGAAGAATGCACCCTGGCCCGGCCCATGTCCTGCTACCTGGCACACTGGACTGGAGTTGTTTACTGGTGGCTGTCTCCTCCCAGCCGGCCACCACACCTCTTGCTGGCAAGGACCCCGACTTTGGCTTACTGTTTCTTCCGTGTCCCCTCAGCCAACAATGTCGCAGGCGTGCCCCATGTGGAGAGGGCTGGAGACCTGCATGCAGAACACTGGGCCAGTCAGGTCGGGGGGAGTGTGCACAGCTGACCTGCCTCTCAGGGGCTTATGCTTGTCTTGGGGCACAAGAAAGACTCCAAAAAAAAAAAAAAACACTGGTGTTTATAAAAGGTAGGGTTCACTCAACATTTATTCGTCATACTGTTGAATACGTTTCATGACAGTTTGACTCACCTCTATATTCCCAGTACCTAATGTTATACCTGGCGCAATAAACAGGACATTTGTTAAGCAGTTGCTCTGGTCTCCGCTCCCTGCTAGGCTGATTACGGAGGACAGTCCCTGACCTCTAGGAGGATCGGATGCTTAATACACGATTAAATGATTCATGCAGCAGCTGCCCTTGGTGCCCCAGGATGCACAGAGCTGGGCTGGACAAGGCTTCCTGGGGAGGGGAACTGGATTTGTAGGGTAAGAGTGAGAGATGGGGGGTGCTGAGGCTGGATGAAGGGGAGGGAGCTGCAAGAGTGGAGAACCTTGGAGGTCATGTGTAGGAAAACTTGAATTTTTCCCAAGGCAGTGAGAAACCAGGAACGTTCTTCAGGCTGGAGTTTACCCTTTATAGGTTAAATAGATCTCATCATCCCCTTTCTACAGAGGCAGAAGCCTGAGGCCTGGGGGAAAGAGCTGAGATCATTGAGCCAGTTGGGTCCTTGCCCTCTAGGTCAAGGCCTGTTCCCAGTAATCGAGGCTGCCTCTTGACCACTTCCATCCTCATAGTCATAGAGACGTGGTTTGGAGGCAAAAGCAGGCTTGAAGTGACTTGAGGTGACAGTGCAATGTTGGGAACAGAGAGGAAAGGCCAAATTTGAGAGATTTGTAAAGACAAGATTTCAGTTTTAAACAACAAGTTGTTCCTTGGAGTAATCACGTATTTGTGTTTATCATGGAATTTTCAGGTTCCATTGGTGAAAAATGACTGACAGGTCTTTGCTTTGGGGACAAGTTTTTCAGGAAATACAGGACCCCCAGCAATCTGACATCTTGGGAACCTTCACTGCCTCCTCACTGACCTCTCTTACGAGTATGAGGGCCCCTTTTAGGTGTTCACTTGAGGAATGAAGCATTGGGTCCTGTGTAGGTTTCTCTTTGGGGTGTTGGAAAAGCTCCTGATACAAGCAGAGTAATTTCAGTTCAACTAGGTAGAGTAACCACATTCGGGTATTTTTCAATGGCCAGTGGAATTGGGGAAAAGTCTACGAAAGTACAAATTTTCAGTTTAATTTTAACTTTGCACTTCGCTCACATCCAGGACTTGGCAGGGGAAGTGGGCCTTGATTTTTTTTTTTTTTTTTTCTTTTTAAAGCGGAACACACCCTGGATGGAAAAGGGATGTTCTCTTCGCATGGAAGGGTTAGAGCCAAGTACAGAGGAAATGGGTTGGTATTGTAGCAAGAGTTCAGGGGTGGGTCTAGTGTTTGAAACTGGAGCAGTAGGAAAGTGTGGCCCTCGTGGAGGCAGGCAGGGAAGGGGATGGGTTCACAGGCAGCTGTTGGGCTGGCGTTTTTGTTTTGTCCTGTTTGATGCATTTCAGATACTTCACAGCTCACCTGCTGCTCCCATTGGGACCCCTTTTCACCTCACAACGAAGCAGTGGGTCTTTCCCCCATGTGATTTGGGCTTTTCGGTGGTATCAGCAACCTCAGGTCTAAGCCCTGTCCCCTCCCTCCCCTCTGTGATCCCACCCTGCACAGTGCTGAAACCAATCAAGGAGGAAATGCAGAAACAGTGGGGATTCTGAAGACCTCACCTTTAAAAAGATGGGGATTTCCCAAGAGAGTGGAAGCAACCTCTTGCTGTTTGGGGAAGAGCAGGGTCCCAGGTCCCTCTCTGTATCCTTGCCCACTCCTGCAGTGTCATCTGAGCCAGGGCAGGGTTGGGCTCTGTGCTTTGGTTGCTAAGGATGTGTAACCAGAGCAGAGACCTCTGGGGGTGGTGCCCACCTGGTTGGTAGAACAGTTAGAAGAGGAGCTGAAAAGGAACCGTTACAGCCGTAGGGGCGGAAAGGTGTATTCCCTTTCCTCACCCATCGTAAGAGTCATGGCCAACACTTAACAAAAGAAAGGCTAACAAAAGAAAAGCATAACAAATTTATTTAATTAAAGTTGTGACATGAGAACCTTCAGAGAAGATGACCCAAAGACCCAGGGAAACTGCCTATTTTTATACTTAGGTTTGATGAAGAAAAGACAGCCATGAAGAAATGTGACTGGACAAAGGGGTATAGGCTGAGAGGGAACCCAGAAAGGCCTGTCTGTTCAGATAATTTGTGGCCTCCAGTGTAGCATTCCTTCCTCCTGGATATGGGGCAGGACCTCTCTGGAATGAGGGTCTTCAAGGGAGAAGGGAGAGGAGACAGTAGCCTTTCTCAGTTTTGCTTTGGGAGACAGGAATTCTAGTTTCTGTGGCCTGCCTTGGGGAAGAGAAGTTCTGGATTCTATGACTTCTGGGGAGAGAGGGTGAGATAAATTCACAGAGCTTGCTTCTGAGGCCTTCCAGTCTTCTTTAGTTCAAAGTACCCAGCACGCCAAAGCCCCTTACATTGGGGGTATTGTGTTCTGAGCCCCAACACAGTCAAGAACTTGTAGAATTGACTTGGGGGTCTGGAGAGAGCTTGCGCCTGAGCTTCCTGTCCCAAGAAGCCACCAGGGGCCCCTCCGCATCTTGTGGCTAACACCAGCCACCTGAGTGCAGTAGACACCCACCCTCCTGTGACCTTCTTTTGGGATTTTAGGATAAGCAGTTCGGATATGCCTTTAAAACAGAGAGAACACACCCCAAGGAATGGTTATGGAGATTAAACGAGACTGTGTATGAAGCACCTAGAGTGTGCCTAGCGAGTGTTCGAGAAAGGTACGATGATTATTTTTAATAAAAGCATTGATAGTGGTTGCTTGCATATTGTCCTCGAGAGGAGCAGCCACCAGTTTTGGTGTGGTGGTAGGAGCCGGGGACTGGCCTCGTCAGGACTCCGAAACCTATGTCTATCTGTAGCATTCCTGGGCAGGGGTGACAGGCAGCACTGTTCCTCTCCAGGAAGGAGGCCAACTTCCTAGATGAATTCCCTGGGCTCCCCAGCACCGCACTCTGAGGCCCTCCTCTCCTTGGCAAACAGCAGTAAGAGGAGAAGCCATTGACCTGTCTAGAAAAACCGCATGTCTGCAGTCTTTGAGGGTAGACTGGAATCTCTTCTCATATTTGCCTTGCTTTGGTGGAGCTTCAAGAATTCCCAGGCCTTCCAAGAAAACCAATTACTAAAGAAGACTGTGGGCCATGTGACTCCAGTGTTTACTGCAAACGAAGGAGATGTCTCCCCTCCCCCAATACAGTTACTCTCCCTCCATCTGCACTGGTCCCCTAAGGCCTGGCTTCCTGGCTCTATACTGCTTTCCTGTCCTAGGGCAGAAGGCCTTAGAGGATTTATTCCCAGGCACTCTTGCCATGACCTTGAGAAGGTGGCTTGACCTGGACATCTGGATCTCAGGGACTGAGGGGGTGGGAAAGGACTGAACCTCCCCCTCCCAGACCCAAACAGGAAGGTGGGCCTTGGTGACCATTTCCTAGGCTGAGGACGCCTTAGCTCCAGGAGAGGGCTGCGCTCCCTGGCTCTCCCGCTCTGTGGGCTGTGCTAGATGAAAGCCACAAATTGCTGCTGTCCCTGGCGGAGCGGCATGCCTCCACCCACCAGTGAAGAATGAAGGCAGGGCAGCTGCAGGGCCCTGCAGGACTCTGAGATCCAGATGTACCCCAGTGCTCCCCTGCTCTGCCCACTGGCAAGAGGGGGCTGAGGAGGGGCATAGCAGGCCTCACGTGGACTCTGTTTCCATCTCCTTTCCACCCATATCTCTGTTTGGCCCAGAGATGCCTGAGTAACAGGGGTACCTGGTCACTCTGGGCCCAGAAGGAAGAAGGTAGGCATGTTGGCCTGCTCAAAGGAGCAGGAGCGGCCCTGGACAGGGACAGGTTAGAAAGCCTGGCTGCTTATCCAAGAGAAGAAAAGGCCCTGAGGGGCAGGAGCAACCCTTTGAACAATGCCGTACTGCTGTTGAGAAGGACAGGCTTGTACCATGTGACCCATTGGTGAGAAATCAGGGCCTGTGGATGGAAGTTCCAGGGAGGGAGGCAAAAAATCCAGTTGACATTGGTAAGTGTTTCCTGGCACCTACTGGGAGCTTGGGCTGCTGCGTCTTGGGCTGAAGGGACTCTTTCAGATATCAGGTGCACGCAGGGATCACCTTTAAGGTGTCTTCCAGTCCAGAGAGGCCAGGTTTCCCAGAAGCTGGCTGCTCTGGGGCAGGATGGAGAACTCTGGGCCAGCTACCACACGCCGGGTCTCCCTCGCTTACTCCAAGGGTCATTTCGTGCCTGCGACCTGGTTACTCTTCTCGGCCTGTCTTCTTACCTTCATTAGAACCTGCAGTTTCACCTTCAGCTAAGTCTACCTCTTAACAGCCCCGTGAGAGGGTGGCCTTTTATTCGTTCTTTCTACCTCATTAGAAATAAAGGATTTAGGACCCAAATTGTGGGTAAGGGAGCTGAGTGGGGAAAAAGACAGCCACAGAAGTGCCTCCAAAGACAGCCTTTGAGACAGACCTCAGCATTTCATTATGGGCCCATCCTAGGTTTGTGGGTTTCCACTCTCCTTCCACGTCTGTGCTGGACCATGAAGAGCAAAGTCTAGAGCTGTGCTATCCAATATAATAGTTACTTGTGTCTGTTTATACTTAAATTAATTGAAATTAAATAGAATTAAAAGCTCCATTCCTTAGTCTCACTGGCTACACTGCAAGTGCTCCATGGCCACACGTGGCTAGTGGCCCCTGTCTTGGACAGTACAGACTGTTGCCATCCTTGAAGGAAGTTCTATTGGACAGTGCTGGGCTAGAGGTGGGAGAGTTGGAGGAGCCCCTGGTCTGCTGCCCCTGCCTCAGGACAGGCCACATGGGTACTGCTGTGTGAATGCCAGCTACAGGGGCAGGCTCTGCTGTGATGGCAGGAGTGGGTGAAAGCAAATGGGCATGTGGGGGCATTGGGGTGGTGGGCCAAGCCCAGAAGTCCCTAACAACGCTGTGGCTGATGTGTGTGCGTTTTGGGATAATGGGAGAACAGGGTTGGAATGAGACCATCAACCTTGCAAAGGCAGCAGGGCTTACTGGGTTTGTCTTCTGCAGTCCAACCAAGGCCCCTGTCTGGAGTGGCCCCCTGGTTCTGCAGCTTAGCTCACCACAGACTTCTTCTCACCCCAATGTTGAAAAGGCAGAAAAGTCAGGGTGTGCGGTCGTTGGCAGCACAGTGATCCGGAAAGCTAGAAGAAGTGACGGAATGACGGACCGCTTCCTGCCTCTGTCTCCCTGTCCCCTAAGGAGTCCTCTAACACCCTTCCCCTGCTTCAGCCCCATTCCTCACCCCCACTCACACAGCTGGGCCTTCTTTCAGGTGAAAGAACTTGTCCTGGACAACAGTCGGTCGAATGAAGGCAAACTCGAAGGCCTCACAGATGAGTTTGAAGAACTGGAATTCTTAAGTACAATCAACGTAGGCCTCACCTCAATCGCAAACTTACCAAAGTTAAACAAACTTAAGAAGGTAAATAGAGTGTTTGGAGTCTGTGTGTGCTGGGAGGCGGGGGTGGGGAGGGGAAGGGTTATTACCTGTGTTTAGGAAGCGTAATTGAAGGGAAAACCAGGTGCTTGCACTAACATGCCAGACAATTCCCTGAGACTGCTTTCCCTTCTTGCCCGTCTGGGGAAAGCCAGGCAGCTCTGAGCCAGGAGCCTTCATTTTAAAAGCCTTTTCTGATTTTTCTCTCCCTGCCTTGTTTAGCTTGAACTAAGCGATAACAGAGTCTCAGGGGGCCTGGAAGTATTGGCAGAAAAGTGTCCGAACCTCACGCATCTAAATTTAAGTGGCAACAAAATTAAAGACCTCAGCACAATAGAGCCACTGGTAAGTCATTCGGACCCTCCCCTCCCTGCAGGGGTAGGAGGTGGGAGGAATTGGCATCAGCGAATACTATTTTTGCATTTATCCTTTTCCCACTTAATTTCTTTGACTCTCATGATGTGCTATGAGATAGAATTGAGCTGTTGTTTCTGCTGAGTCCATAGAGAAACTGAGGCCCAGAGAAGTTAAATACCTTGACCAAGGTCACACAGACAGAATGGGCAGCTTTTGTATGGGTAGGGTAGAACCCTAGTCTCAATTTCTGCTCCTGCTTTTCCACTCATAGTTTCTGCTCAGCTTTGGAAACCTGAGCTGTAATGTCTTCAGGTTCTGGGCGTGGCTTGTTGCCCCTTTTTGGGAAGGGAGGAGCAATCCAAGAATTAAACTGTCCCTGGAGGTGGACTCCAGTTTTCTCCTTGGGTCGCTGGCCCCTGAACTGTGGGAGATGAGTCAGTCCTGACATAGAACCCTGGAATGACTGAGAGCCGTGTGGTGTGAGAGCCTCATGCAGGCAGGCCTTCCTCAATGTGGTGTGGAGAAGACTGACCCCTGGTCACCAGTCCTTGGTGCAATAGTGAACAGGCTCTCAGGGGCCTGGGCAGCGTTTCTGGCTCCTCTGCTCATCCTTGTAGAGATGGACATCCCCTAAGCTTCACCAATTTACCAGCCAGAAAGGGGCAGGTCATGTTCAGAACAATGCTTTCTTTATTACCAGGATCTGATTTGCTGTATTCCTTTGATTTTTAAGGAAATCAACTGTAAGATGTGTCACTGAAAACAACTCTTTTGGAATAGGAAATACTACCACATGAAGTAAATACACCTGTTGTGAATATACATATAGGAGTCACCTCATAAGGCCAGGCGTGGTAGCTCACACCTTTAATCCCAGCACTTTGGGAGGGCGAGGCAGGTGGATCACCTGAGGTTAGGAGTTTGAGACCAGCCTTTCCAACATGGTGACAACCCTATCTCTACTAAAAATACAAAAATTAGCCGGGTGTGGTGGCAGGTGCCTGTAGTCCCAGCCACTCCGGAGGCTGAGGCAGGAGAATTGCTTGAACCTGGGAGGCGGAGGTTGCTGTGAGCTGAGATCGCATCATTGCACTCCAGCCTGGGTGACAGAGCGAGACTCCATCTCCAAAAAAAAAAATGGGGGGCAGCAGCAGCACCTCAGGCATCTTAGAATTGGGGGAAAGACCAGGAGGACAATTGGCCACGTTTGCCAAATTTCCGTTCTGGGTTTATAGGGGAGGTGGGGTATCCCTCAGATTGGGTTGGAGTTTTCAGGGTTTCTGTCCCAAAAGGCACTCCTTGCTCTCCATGGATGCTCATGGGACTTGCTGGTGGCCAATGTGGCAGAACAGGACACTGGCATTTCTTTTCCAAGCTCTTTACCTGTCCATCAATGGCATTGGGGCCAATTAGTAGAATGTACTTCCCACAGAACTTCTTTTCAGGCCTTCCACTGGTCTTCCAGGAGAAAGCCAAACTATTCTGATCTGTCTGGAAGTCTTGATTTTATGTTATTACAAAAGGAAAACGTCTTTGAAGTTCTGTGTATGGGCGAGGTATGGGGATTGAGTATATAAAATCCTTGTAAAACATTGTGATTCGGTCACCATTAGGGATCAGGCACTCAGGCACGCCCATGTTCACACTTTCCACTGCCCCCTGCCCAGATCACCCGTGTCTCAGTGCTTTCCCTGCCCCTGCTTGTCAGTGTGTGTTACCTTACCTCCCTGGGGCAGGAAGCTGCTTTTGGTAGGGGGTGCTGGGCTTGCCTACACAGTCCACTGTCAAGACTTCCTCCCTGCCCTTGGCTTCTGCTGAGAATGACCCAGGTCTCAACTGCAAGGTCGTAGAGAGAGAGCAACCTAGCTCCCGACATTGACTCCAAGGAGCAGTGTTTTACTCCCTTGTTAGACCTGGCCCCCTTTGGAATGGGGACTCAGCCTGGGATGGGATTTTTTTGTACCTGGTGCCTCAAAGGTGGGAAGTCAAAATGCAAATCAGTTACTTTCAAGCAGTATGACCCTTCACTTCCTGGGCCTCAGTTTCCTCTACCATCAAATAGGGATAACATTGGCTAGAACCCGTCTGGTGTAAAGCTTTGACAGAGCACATGATGTCAGATACTACAGACAGAATTGGAATCCTCCATCGCTTTTTCTCTTATCCTTTTCTGAGAGGTAGTATTTCAAAGAGTAAGAGCACAGGTCTGAAGTTGGGCTGCCTGATGAATTACCAAATCCTGTACTCTCCATTTCCACATAGGTGAAATGAACTAATAATTATTTCTACCTTACAGGGGTTGTGAGATAAAGTGACTCAGTACATGAAGTGCTATGTTAACTGCCCTCATCATCATCATTATCAGATACAGAAGGAGTTAGTTTGTTAGTTCAAGTTGCTTTTGGTTTCCCTCTCGTTCCTTAGTCTCAGGGAAAGGCAGCAAACCTCTTGGCTCATGCACCAAGAAAGCCCCAGGCTAATTTCAAGTCAATCACTGTTAAGAGAAGCTATAATTGCAAAATAAAAGTGTTAACATTAGATAAGGCTTCAAAGATCCTCCAGTCCAACCCCGTATTTTCCAGATGGAGACACTGAGGCCCACAAATTGTGGTGATAAGTCTGGGCAAACACTGTGGCTAAGCAGAGCCAAATCCAAGCTTCCTTATCACCTGGAAGTCGTGGTCTGTCCACTGTATCTCATGGCATCCTTGCCTTTTTGCTAGGGCTGTTCCCCCGCCTTCCTCCCACAAATCACTTACTGTTGGTTTCATTTTTCCACTTGCAGAAAAAGTTAGAAAACCTCAAGAGCTTAGACCTTTTCAATTGCGAGGTAACCAACCTGAACGACTACCGAGAAAATGTGTTCAAGCTCCTCCCGCAGCTCACATATCTCGACGGCTACGACCGAGACGACAAGGAGGCCCCTGACTCGGATGCTGAGGGCTACGTGGAGGGCCTGGATGACGAGGAGGAGGATGAGGATGGTGGGTGACAGGGGGTGGCCCAGGGCTGCAGGGGCCCAGCTGAGGCCTTGGGGCTCCTCCTTGGCTTTGCAGAGGTGGGTGGGCTGGGTGTTGGGAGGCCCCCACCCAGCTACTGAAGGCTGGCTGGCTGGCTGGCTGGCTGGCTGGCTAGCTGGCAGCTACCTCCTTCCAAAGCTAGGGAGGGGAGTGGGGCTGTCTGCTTTATTTTCCATAGTCCCTAACCTGTCTCATTGGTTGTCTTCCCTAAAAGAACAAAGTATGAGTCCCATGCTCATGGAAATATCCTGAGATTCTCCAACTGCGTAATAACTCCTTTAAAATCATCCAGCTGAATCCCCACTTCAATTTTTGTCCCTTTCCAAAGCCCTTCAGGGAGTGGTATTCTACTGTCATCCTATAGTGTGACCCGCACTTAGACACTCTCTCAGGGAGGGAGGGAGGGGATAGAGAGAGAAGAGGGTGTAGACCCCCCTTTCCTGTCTAGGTATTCAGTAGTGGAGAGGAGGTCCAGAGCTAGAGGGGTTGTGGGGCCCCCTGGTAGTTGCAGCCCACAGCCCCACACTTAGGGGCACTGGCTCAGGTGCTCAGGAGCCACAAGTGCTGGGAAGTTGAGGGCTGCAGGCCGCCTGTAGGGTTCCCTGGCAGTGTGGTGTGCAGTCGCGGCCTACAGGAAGGAAAGAGGGAAAAGAATGGGGTTCTTCGTCCTGTTACATCCCCTTCTCCCTTGCCACCAGCACAGTGCAGCTTTCCCATGGGTCTTCGTGGCCAGATAAAGTTGAGAATGGAGACACTTGCCTGATTGATTCAGATACAGGATTTTGGTTTTCCTTGTTCAATTGGGAGTGTGTTGCAAGATACTCAAGAGACCGTGTTTGCCTTGGTGGGGATCTTGTGATATGGCAGAAAGGAGCCAAAACTGGCAGTCCCAGTACCAGGTCCCCTAGGCCCAGCTCAACCAGTGACTCAGTGTGTGACCTTGAACAAGTCAGTTCTCTCTGTGCCTCGGATCTCTCACCTTTAATGTGAGGAGTTTGGATTGACCTTGCCGCTCTCCCGGGCCCTGGAACTTATTGTTCCGCTCTGACAATTTCCTGGTGGTCTCAGTGTGAGAGACCTCCAGAAGGGGTCTTTCACATTCATAACACTTGTGAGGGGGGCTTATCTTTGGCACAACTTCAGGATGTGTTTAATTATGTCGGCATTGTTTTCATGAGAGTTAGTGTGTTCAATCTTTGGGCTTAGATGGGTGTGGCAGGGTCGTGAGCCCCACACTGAAGACGCTACAGGGGCCTGTGCTGTGTGGGGGCAGAGCCAGCTCACCACTAGTTCTGTTTCCATTCCCCATTTCCATTGCACAGAGGAGGAGTATGATGAAGATGCTCAGGTAGTGGAAGACGAGGAGGACGAGGATGAGGAGGAGGAAGGTGAAGAAGAGGACGTGAGTGGAGAGGAGGAGGTAAGGAGGCTGGGCTGGGCTGGGCAGGGCCACCGTCTGCCCCTTTGAGGCAGTCCCACTGACTGCCTCTGTGATCAGTCTTGGCAACCCTGGAGCCCTGGTTAGGAAAGTCGCTCCCCCGTGGGTAGTGAAGTGAGTCCATTTCAGAGCCTTTCACTGGACTGTTTCTGGGGAGACAAGACTTGCAGCAAGCTCTGGGGAGGCTGGATTAGAAGAGGGGAAGAGGATTTTAGAGGCAGGGACTGAACCTGCTGGGGTAAGCCTGGCCATTGTTTCTGTGTGAAGAAGTACAGAATGCATGACCCCATTTTCTGCTTTTTGCTTTCATATGCTAATTAAGATATTCATTGAGCACTTAAACTGTGCTGGGGAAAACCAAAGACTGCCTTGAACTGATAGGTAGCAGGATAACACTGCTGGATCCCAAATCAGAGAGTGACACTATGGAAATAGAGCGTCAGGAGTTGGCCATTTTCCTAAACAGATTGGCTGGTTCCCAGTTTTTTAACAAGATCTGTGAGGGGGTGAGTCCTAGATCTACCACTCACTAGCTGTGTGTCCCCGGACAATTTACCTGACCTTTCTGAGCCTATTTCTTCATCTGTAAAACAGGGATCATGATAGCTTTCTCACAGGGTTGTTAAGAGGATAAAGTGAAGTGTAAGTAAAATGCTTAAGGACAATGTCTGACAAGGGGTAAGTGTCTGACTGCTTATTGTAGGCGTTCACACCCTCCTCCAGGTTCCTGGCACTGTGTTGGGTTTTGTGTTTGTGTGTTCTGAGTCTCTCTGTAGCAGAGTCATTTTCTATAACTTGCTCAGAATTCTAAATCAACTCTTGCTAATTGCAGAAGTTAGACCTAGAGAGTTTTAAAGTGACAATAGCATGGACAAGGTACCTGTGTCCCCTCCCAACTCCCCCCGCAGTTTCCTGTCTCCCTCAATGGAGGATGCAGACACATCCGCTTGCCACACGGACTCACTCAGATAGTGTCTTCCAGTTTCAGCCAGCCGGCCCAGGCTTGAGAGACACAGGCCAATGACAATAGAAAAGCGGAGGCCAGGCGCGGTGGCTTATGCCTATAATCCTAACACTTTGGGAGGCCGAGGTGAGCAGATCGCTTGAGGTCAGGAGTTCGAGGCCAGTCTAGGCAACGTGGCGAGACTCCTTCTCTACTAAAAATATAAAAATTAGCCAGGCATGTTGACGGACACCTGCAATTCCAGCTACGCAGGAGGCTGGGGCACGAGAATCACTTGAACCTGGGAGGCAGAGGTTGCAGTGAGCCAAGATGGCACCACTGCACTCCAGCCTGGGCAATAGAACGAGACTCAGTCCAAAAAAAAAAGCTGGCGAGATGAGCTTGGTTTCTGTTTAGTTGTGCTGCTGGCTTTGTCTTCTCCCTAGGTCTAGACTCTTAGGCTCATCTCTAAAGAATATTGTATTTTAAAAATAAAGTCTTAGTAAAACAGGTTTCCCTAGAACAGGGCAGTAAGTTGTATTGGCTAATAGCTGTTTCGTCTTCCCCTTCCTGTCACAGAAGTGCTGCATGTGGGGTTTGGCGGCGGTGCAGGGCGGGGAGGATTGTGGGGTTTTTTTTGTTTTTTTTTTTTTTGAATAATCTCACTGACCATCTGCATATTTCCAACTTTCAGTAAAGGAGAGCTTATACATGCAGAAAAACCCAGAACCTTAGCAAACAGACTTATGAGGGAACTCTTTGGTGACATTTTAAAAGAATATTTCCCTTGACAAAAAAGAAGTCTGTCACCAAGTTCTTTTAAACTTCAGGAACTGGGTTTAACAAGCAGAGGTTCAGCTTGCATATACTTTCAGGAGCAGAGGAAAGCCACGGTCCTGTGTTGAGAAGGAAAGTCGTATACCTTGCTGAACCTCAAGCTGGTTGGCAATGATGTCCTCAGGGGGGTCTTGAATTTATCTTCCCCATCCCTTCCAGGTGGTCCAAGTTTGCAAGCTAGGGAAGGGACTGGATCGGGTGACATTGGACTTGCCCACAGAATCTGGATTTGCTGAAACTGGGGTCTTCCCTTGAAGCCAAAACTAGATTGAGGACAGATGCAAGAAAGGATGGCCTACTTTGCACGGCAGGGAGTCTGCTCGGGAACTTGCTCTCCTCAGAGAACGCGCAGACGGGAAAGCTGCCTGCCTTACAGGGACTTCAGATGGGAGTTCTTAACCTGGGTGCTGGAATCCATCACCCCCTGAAACTGCTTGCAAATATTATAAATGATGCGGACATTTTCTGGAGAAGGAGTTCAAAGCTTTCTGCAGATTCCCCAATGGGTCCTTGATCCAAAATAAATTAAGAACCTTTGCTTTACATTCCTCCCGAGATGGCAAGTCTTGGTGGGGGCTCTGAGAGGCTGGGGGTGACCCCGGCCTTTTTGTGCTCTGTGTGGCTTCCTCAGCGTGTCTCAAGGCGGGGCGTTTCTAATGTTCTGGTGTCCGTCTTTTCTCCTAGGAGGATGAAGAAGGTTATAATGATGGAGAGGTAGATGACGAGGAAGATGAAGAAGAGCTTGGTGGTATGGCAGCCTTTTTACTCTCAACTGGTAGCAGCCTGGCCCTTTTACTTTGGCCTTAGATCGCTGAGGCTCTGAGTCCCCTGGCAGTGGGCAGGACACTCCTGTCAGAGGCCTCAGGTTCCCCCTCCAGCTGTGCAGATGTCTTGCCTTGGTTTCCAAGGATGGCACAGCTTGGTAGTCGTGGGCCCCGTGGCTTCTCATTGGGTGGGTTGAGTTAAAGAGGTGGGATTCATAACTAATCTAAATGCCACTTTCTTGCTCTTCCAGAAGAAGAAAGGGGTCAGAAGCGAAAACGAGAACCTGAAGATGAGGGAGAAGATGATGACTAAGTGGAATAACCTATTTTGAAAAATTCCTATTGTGATTTGACTGTTTTTACCCATATCCCCTCCCCCTCCTCCAATCCTGCCCCCTGAAACTTATTTTTTTCTGATTGTAACGTTGCTGTGGGAACGAGAGGGGAAAAGTGTACTGGGGGTTGCGGGGGGAGGGAGGGCGGGTGGGGGTGGAATAAAATACTATTTTTACTGCCACTCTTTATTTTTTCCCCCTACTTTTTCTTTGTGTCCGGTTTTTGTCCCTGTAAATGCGATAGCTAAGTACACACTAAGTGAGCATTTGTTCCTGACTCTCAAAGAGGATGGTTTGGAGTTCTCTTACGTTTCCTGGTATTTCCCAAGTCTCTTGGGTTGGGTGGAAGGCTGTGGTTGGTCTCAGTTTGGTTTCTCAATGCCCAGGAGGGGCTGAGCACCAGCCATGTTTTTTTGCTTTGGTTCATGTGATACCTGCTTTTCTCGGGCCTGCTAGAGGCATCCAACGCCCTGGTTTGTAAATAGCAACCTAAAGGCGTATTTTGGCACTGGTCTGGGGACATTCCCCATCTCTCATCCCTTTTCCCCCTTCACAGATGGTGGTGGGCTTTGCTCTACAAAGAGGACTCTGATGTTACTCTTGAGAGCTTATGAGCCAGAGAGCTGAAAACGGCAGGCTTGTAAGTTACAAGGAAAATGGATTTGGTAATTAAAATTAAAAGAGAAGAAACACACCCTCAAACTTCAACTTCTTTAAAAGAAAAAAAAAAAATACTGTCCTATCTTGTTCTGTAAAATATTAGAACGCTTTGTTTTACAAAAATGATGAGAGAATTCTTCCACATGTACTTCTGTGCTTAGAACATTTTTACAGTCCTAAGCGCTGGAGACGTTGCTGCATGTCGGCTGGGTTTTTTTTTCATACACCCGAGCACGGAAAAACTAACGCAAAATTGTATTTTCTTACCTAGTGGAAATCTGAAATGACTGCAAATTCCTAGTGAATGTACAGGTTTGCTTTCGTGTCCCTCTTCTGGTTGCTTTAGAAGTGACGTGTAATTTCTGAACCCATGTTTCATCTGTATAAAAGAACATCTGCACCAGTTTTTCTCCTGCCCCTCAGAAGAGCCAAACTTTGAGTTTTATGTCTGTTTGTCATTGATAAATTTCAATAAATCTTTTTATACAATTTTTTTGGGGATGGCTTCTTTGAGTCCAACAGGCCATTGATCTTGTCAAGATGCATTCCAGATGAACTGCTAGGTGAGGGGGAAGCTTCATTTTTGTTACCTGACAGAATAGCTTTTCTTATGAGATATATATATATATATAATGTGATACTAAGTTTGGATATTTTTGGTCTTAAAGCAAGACTCAGTGGTGTATCTTCATTAAAAGCTTCCTTTAAAAAAGTTACAGAGTTACTAAAAAAACAAGTACCCAAACAATCAAGTTGGGCTAACCTTGGAACCTTGTTTTGAATATCTTTCATTGTTTTGTTTGTCGTATTGTAAAAAGAATGTATGGTTGAAAACTCAGGAATGTTTATAAAACAAATTATTTCACAAACCCAGAGGTTTACATATGGTGTTTTATTTTGTTACTTTACTTAACAGTATTAGAATCATTTCCTTGTACCTTTAATTTTCGAAAGCATGTATCTTAAATGGCTACATAGTAGTCCATCAACTATATTCTGATTTACTTAATTCTAACCAAATGGTTAGATGTTTTCGTTATGTCCAACTTACCCCTAGAGTGGATATTGTTATATTACTACTTACTCATACTTTTTGTGGATTTCTTAGTACAAACTCTTAGAAGTAGTACAGTCATTGGACCAAAAGCTGAAAACATTTATGAGGCTCATGTACAAGGTTCCATGTTTTCCAGAAGAGTTAAGCCAATTTACTGTGGTTGTTTATACATGTTCACATATACTCATTCTTATGTATTCATTCTTTACAGCCTTGAACCCACAACAAGCCCTAATTCCTTACAGTGTCTTATAGTTATTGTGTGATTCCAGCAGTGTAAAGTGTTTCCAGAAGAGTCTGTGACCCACCTCACCCTCTGGGTGGTACCCTGGCACCTACTGCCCTTTGGAGCAAGCTGCCTGTGGTTCCAAGCATGGGATGGATGGGATGGAGAAGTGACCTCCTCCGGGCCAAGTGCTGTGCTAATAAGCAGCTGGGCTGTGAAAATGAACTAGGCAAGCATGTTCTTGTGCCTCTCAGAGTGAAAGAACATGGAAGTGGGGTGAAATTGAGAGATACTCTGGTCTGGCCTCAGGTTTTCTGGCCCTGACTTCCCTCCATGGGGCCTTTAAGGATCAGGTGACTAACAGATACAGCAATAAATACCATAGGCCAGGCACGGTGGCTTATGCCTATAATCCCAGCACCTTGGGAGGCCAAGGCGGATGCATTGCTTGAGCCTAGGAGATCGCTTGAGACCCACGTGGGCAACAGAAGGAGATCCCGTCTCTACAAAAAATACAGAAATTAGCCAGGCGTGGTGGTGCATGCCTGTAGTCCACTTGAGCAAGGGAAGTTGAGGCTGCAGTGGGTCATGATCACCCCACTACACTCCAGCCTGGACGACAGGCTGAGGACCTGTCTCACAAAGAAAGAACTAAAAAATGTAAGGAAAAAGGGAAGGTGGTGAACAGGTTGATGTTAATGGGCCTCGGGGAGGAGAACCCTTTCTGTATTGATCATGCCAAGCATTCGTGTTAACCCTTGAGGAAGATCGTATTATGCCCATTTAACAGATAAGGAAAACAGGTCAAGTCACTTGGAAAAAGTGGAATCAGCATGCAACCCAGGCCCATCTGGGGCTATTTGCATTTCGTGGAACTTACGAGTGGCACAGAAAGCTCAGACAAAGAGGAGAGAGGGGCAGGGCTGGCTTTTCCTGAGCTCTTGCTATGTTCTAGGCCCTTTGCTTCAAATGCAGCATCTCATTAATCTTACCGAATCATCACAGCCACCTTAGGTAGATGCTGTTACCCTTGCTACACAGTGGCTTAGAGGGTAATGCCCAAGGCCATACAGCCAGGAAGAAGAGCACCATCAGGAACTAACCAGGTGTGCGATTCCAGAGCCGGCCCTCTTGCCTGTACCATAAGTGCCTCCCACGTCCTGACTCCTGCTCCCCAGATCAGACCACTTGTGTGAGTGAGGTGTGTTGGAGTAGTTCCTCACCCTGACCATCACGGCTTCAGCGAGGGAAGTTTCACCACTCAGTGTGCTAGTAAATGCCATAGGACAGACCCCTGAGATAGAAGGACTTAGGTTTCTAAGTCACCCCGTGCAACCCTCTTATTTGACCAAAGAGGAAACCGAAGCCCAGAGAAGGCAAGTGACGTGCCCAAGGTTTCACTGCAGGGGAGTGACAGCCAAGCCTGGAAACCAGGACTCCCATCCGTGGGCTTCTGCACCGTCTCACACACAGCTGTACTGTTTGGGTTGGGGGAGGCCAGCTGCAGTGAGAAGACACACCATGCAGTGTGTCTTCCAGGAAGGAAACAGCTGAGCCTTGAGTGAACAGGATATAGTGAGTGCCATGGCCAGGTATGTGTTTTAGGTGGCTTTGGAATGCATCATAGGTTCTTGCTATTCACAGTGGAAAATTTGGCTCCCTGACATTGTCCTATCTGACACTGATCACCACTGAAGGGCTGCGTGTTTCCTGGTGCAGATCGGTGCCTGGAGAGGACAGTAATGACGATGCTTCTTGATTATGAGCTACTGTGTGTCATGTGCTTTCCATCCATTGCCTCCTCTAATCTTTGCGGATTTCACAGAGGAAACCAAGGCTCAGAAGTGAGACAACTAGCCCAGCTAGTAAGTGAAGGGCCTCAAAACGACATCCTTCTGACTCCAGAGACCTTGTTCTTAGCCACTGTGTTCAAAGTACCAGGCAGATGAGGGAAGGGGGGTTGAGCAATTCAGTTTGTCTCATTTGCTGACTTGCAAAGGCTGTTTTTATCCTGGTTTAGAAACTCATTGTTCATGGTTGGAAGAATTCCCACAGTGGGTCTCTAATAAGCAGCTTTGGACAACAGCAGCTCTAAGTCCCTGGTCCAGCCCTTGGACAGGCCCCTGGGACAGGCCGGCCCAAGGGTGAACAGGCCAAGGAGGGGGCTGGAGATGGTTGCACCGATGAGGGTAGGTCAAAGGCTAGGTCATCCGACTGAGACCCTCAAGTCTGGTGGTGGTCGCACTAGCAGAGGAGAGATTGCCAGAAGCTCCGGAGTCACTGAGGCATCTGGAGGCTGCTGGCTAACTGCGAACTGGGGAGCTGATGCAGGGAACGTCCGTGGGGCTGCCTGCCAACCATCCGTTTTTCTTGGCCTAGCAACAACTCCAATGGACCATTGGAAAGACTCACATGGATATGGACCATTCTCCACTCCTGAAGTTCAGATGGGATGGCCCCCATCCCTCTGGGTCTTAGGTAAGCAAGTTATTTTGTCCTGGCCAATCAGCCTAGTCCAAATCCTAACCACAGTGACTGGTACAAGGAAGGACCTGAAACCCAAATTGGTCAAATGAGGCTTGCTGCCTGAAATCTAGAAAACAAGAATCTTCCCATGGGAGGTGCTGGGCTAGAGGATGGAGGCCTGGAGTTGAGGAGGCACAGCACTTGGATAGAGCCAGGACAGAGAACCAGCGAACCTCCAGGTGATCCCATCCCATCCTGGGAGTCCTGATGAGTGCAATGAAGTGAGGACTTCAACAGATACTTACAACTTACTGTTTGCCAGGCACTATACGTTATTATTCTTGTGTTTCATCATAACCCTATCTGGTAATCATTATTATCCACATTTCAAAGATTGAACCCATCTAAGCGCTCAATATTGGCTGCTTAGTGCCAGACACAACAATAAATGCTTTATAAAAATCAACCTAGTGTTTCCCAAATTTCCCTGATAATCCCTGGGGCCTGTCAGACTGCCAGGCCTCATCCCTGGGAATTCTAGTTCAGTAGCCCTGGACTAGGGCCCAGGAATTTGTGATTTTAACAATACCCAGAGGATTCTCATCATGAGGGAAGTTTGGGAAATGCTGCATTAAACTCAATAGCCACAGCTAATATGGCCATACTCATTTAAACAAAAAAGTGAGGCTCAAAGAGGTTAACTGACCTGCCCAATATCACACAAGTG